TAATGAAGACTATTTAAATATAATTAAAAAACTAAAGTTACAAAATAAATATTTTATAACTTCATATTGATATACGTTATATCATGAGGTATAAAATAAGATTCAGGTTATGCTAAACATTTGTTATGTACCTATTTCTAGATGATGCCCGCAGTAAAGTTTTGTACAACAAAACGGGATTTTTCCATACACTTCTAACTACTTCCATATTTATAATAAACAAATCTAAACGTAGTTGTGTCAATGTACTATTTCTAAATATACAGTTTTAGTTGAAGTAAGAATAACGATATATAATCGTAAAGTTACTTTGTGATCATGCTGCTCGTTAAACCTGCGCATCACAGACTGTTTTATTTAACTGAAAAATTTTATTAAATATACTGCATAGAACATAAAATAGTTTTTGTATATATTTATAGAAAATTGATTTAAATTAAGTTTCAAAAATTATTATTTTAACAAAATGCATATACATATTAAACGCTATAGTTATACATGTGTAACTATAAAAAGAAACAATCTGATTTTATGGATAAATATTTTATCTTTTGGAACTATTCTACTGTTTTAGTAATTTTAATAATTTGCAGCATCGTGTATAAAATTTTATCATTTATATAATAAATATGAAATTTAGATAAAAATGATTACGTAGTTAATATCAGAAAATTATATTTACATTTTTTACATGCAAAGAGCTTTTAAGTGCATACATATTAAGAGTTTTCTACCACAGAATTTTAAATAGTAAAGTAGTAAAGTATTTTACTTCACAATTGTTTATATAAAAGCTTCAAATATTTTCTAAATTAAATTAGAATTAAAAAAGAAAAAAAATACGATATAAGATGAGACTATGAAATAGCAAGTAAAATTTTGTAATATAGAGCAAAACAAATACTCAATCAGTTGTTTGTTTCAGTTTATTAATGTTATTTAATAAATATTATATAATATAGAATGAAATATATTTGCCATTTTTAAACATACAATTTTTTTCATTTAATACAGATACAATAGGCATAAACTATAATAGGCATAAAACATTTAAAATGCATATTCAATTAACATAAAATTATAATTATCACAATTATTATCATTATATTATTAGCATCTAAGTTTATGATATTGCACACAATATCACAATATTATTATTAAGATATATGTAACATAAGTATATATGTCATTAATTTTTTAATTAATATTCTTTAAGTACTGTTCATTATATTAATAATATAATAGAATAAAGGAAGATTGTTAATATTATTAAGTAATATTTATGGCAGTTGATGAATTAAAGAATTATACGATATTGATATTGATATTTTTAAAAATACCAAAAATCATTCATTTTGCACCTCATAGTATTCTTTATATATTTTTAAATTTACTTTGGACAATTTCACACAATAATGAATAAATGCTTATTAAAATTGAACTTAAAAAAAAGTAGTACTTAAAATTATAACAATGTT